CAGGTCCCTATAGTGGCAGCTGTTACAGTTCCTGAAGTGTAGTTACAGGTTCCTATAGTGACAGCTGTTACAATTCCTGAAGTGTAGTTACAGGTTCCTGTAGTGGCAGCTGTTACAGTTCCTGAAGTGTAGTTACAGGTTCCTATAGCGACAGCTGTTACAGTCCTTGAGGTGTGGTTACAGGTTTCTATTGTGGCAGCTGTTACAGTTCCTGAAGTGTGGTTACAGGTTCCTGTAGTGACAGCTGTTACAGTTCCTGAAGTGTAGTTACAGGTTCCTATAGGGACAGCTGTTACAGTTCCTGAAGTGTGGTTACAGGTTCCTGTAGTGACAGCTGTTACAGTTCCTGAAGTGTAGTTACAGGTTCCTATAGGGACAGCTATTACAGTTCCTGAAGTGTAGTTACAGGTTCCTGTAGTGGCAGCTGTTACAGTTCCTGAAGTGTAGTTACAGGTTCCTATAGGGACAGCTGTTACAATTCCTGAAGTGTAGTTACAGGTTCCTGTAGTGACAGCTGTTACAGTTCCTGAAGTGTAGTTACAGGTTCCTATAGTGGCAGCTGTTACAGTTCCTGAGGTGTGATTACAGGTCCCTATAGCGGCAGCTGTTACAGTTCCTGAGGTGTGGTTACAGGTTTCTAGGAACCTGTAACTACACTTCAGGAACTGTAACAGCTGCCACTCAGGAACCTGTAACTACACTTCAGGAACTGTTACAGCTGTCGCTATAGGGACCTGTAACTACACTTCAGGAATTGTAACAGCTGTCGCTATAGGAACCTGTAACTACACTTCAGGAACTGTTACAGCTGTCGCTATAGGAACCTGTAACTACACTTCAGGAACTGTTACAGCTGTCGCTATATACACTTCAGGAACTGTAACAGCTGCCACTACCCCCCATGAAAGTCCGAGGCATAGAGCAGTCGCAATGTATCAACAATAATACCTCCATGAAAGTCTGAGGCATAGAGCAGTCGCAACGTTTCAACAATAACACACCCCATGAAAGTCCGAGGCATAGAGCAGTTGCAACGTTTCAACAATAATACCCCCATGAAAGTCCCAGTTATATTTTTTATCATTCCAGAAGGTGTTTCATCATATAATCAACCACGAGTTAATATAAATATATTTCTTAATAAATTGTTTTTGGTGATACTTTAATTTTGTTCAGTTCTTTGTTCAAGTCATCTTTCCAAGATGATTAAGTAAGCTTCGGATCCCACTCTTCATACAACATGATTTAGTGATTTTTTTGCAAAGACTTACGTGACACGATTATTAGTTTTTCTTTAATTACATTGATAGATCAAATAAAGATCTGTTATCGTCTGTTTCCCCACAGGATATTACCAGACTACTTCTGTCACTTTAATGCTGTCTCTAAGTGGTTTATTAGAATGGTTAGTATAATCACTGACAGGGTATCAGCTGCATTTAAGTAATTTTGTTAAAAGATAAAAAAAAACGACCTTTACACTCCAGGTAATTGTAAAAGAAATTTTGATCTTTACCAACGTTTCGCCTTTGCGATTTCACGAGGGTTAGTACGTACAATTTATATGGTTATTGGTTTCATCAGGGTTTAACTAGAGCGTAAAAATGGTTTTTTTTAAAACCTTTTGTCAAAACATATAAATTCCTCCAGTATGAACTACGAATTATAAAAAAAAAACCATTTAAATAATGGTTCTGACGTTTCTAACAAAACGATGACGGATCTCCATGGAAACCACGTCTCTCCAATCAAAATTAAAAGGTTCTCTGTCATACTTTTCTTCGGACTCTGAATAATATTTCCGAGTTTGGATTCAAAATATGTGTGCTTGTGTCCTTTGAATTCAGACAATTTGAATAATATTTCCGAGTTTGGATTCAAAATATGTGTGCTTGTGTCCTTTGAATTCAGACATTTCGCTTTTTATCCTTCACCAAACTTGAAAGTTTCTCGGCGTATACTTGTTTTTCCAACTTCTAATAAAATCAGATCAGCGATACCTTGAGGTGACTGTCAGAGATCAGTTTCAGGACACGTCTTCCCCAGGACTTTCTTTCTAGATTCAGGTTTTCCCAAACCAATTAGATAGCTTATCTAGTTTATCTTCAATCACTTTCATTACACGTATTGAAAACTTCGAGGGTTTTGACCTTTAGGAACTTGTAACTACACTTCAGGAACTGTAACAGCTGTCGCTATAGGAACATGTAATCCCATCTCAGGAACTGTAACAGCTGCCACTACAGGAACCTGTAACTACACTTCAGGAACTGTAACAGCTGCCACTATAGGAACCTGTAACTGTTATTGTTGATACATTGCGACTGCTCTATGCCTCGGACTTTCATGGGGG